GTGCGGTTTCACTCGGAAGAGCATCGCTCCTGCTGTGTTTGGAAACCTCCTTTCTCCTCCCGGTGCCAGAGCGCTGTACCGTAGCTTGGTACCATCTTTCAGCTGGCAACACCTCTGCTGCGGAAATCACTTTGGGCTGCTTCTCGGGAGTCCGTGAAACGCGCCAGACAAGATTTCATTGACAACTTAAGAAAGAATCGTCCTTCCCCGGTATGCAGCCGCTGGCGCCTACCCGCTGCTCTCTAGGCTGTTTAGGCCAAACGTGGGTTCTCAAAGCTCAGTGCTCTCGGTGGGGGTGACAGGGATCTCTGGGAATGTTCAGTCAAAAGAAATTGCCAAAGCTGCAGTGGTATGAAATCTTAGTTTATTATTATAATTCATTAAATGTTGTCTGTACCATTACGAAGCACCTGCTGTCAGGTATGATTTTTATTGTATATATCCTAGTAGACTAATTTTGGCAAGATTTTCGTTCTCTGTGCGTTTATTTATACTAATTGTTTCCTTCAAACAACCATTTGGTTCCCATTAAAAAGTAGAAGTTCTTCGATTTCTCCTCTCTGCCCTTTCCAGGATTCATCTCGCTGACCTGGGGCGTCTCAGCGTGGGATGCCGGGGTGCTCGGTGGGTCACTGGGGGCCAGGCTACCCAACCCACACTTGCTCTTGGCCAGTGCCTGGCTCGTTTCATGGATGGCGGGGGAGGCTGTGCTGGCCACAGCCCTGCGGCCGCTGGCCCCTTTGATGGAGGAATCTGAGTCTTTGCCTTCTTCTGCTGGCCTGAGAGGGATCCCACCTGGAGCCGTGCAAAGGCCAGAGTTGGGCAGAGTGCGTCCAACCCTCGCTGGCATTACCAGAAGCAGTTTGGCTCAAGCTGAGCTGGCCCGATGCCTGAATCAGCTTGTGTGGCCGTCCCCTTTGCCCAGTGCATGTCCCTTGTCACAGCTCCTGTGGAAGCGAGGGCCGCCTCCACCAGCCCTTTGGCGTGGTGCCCTTTGTCCCCCCTCGGGTTTGCCCGTTTATGACATGCTGTAGCCAGATCCTGAGCTCCAAACTGCAAAGTCCTGGAAACCCAGAGAAGGGTCTGAGCGTGCGTTGGAACTTTTTTTGCAGGTGCCTTTCCCCCTGTCCTCCGTTGCCAAAAAAAGGAGATGCCTTAGGTGCAGGAGAGGTTTCTCTGGGGTGGATTTGGTAATTCTCGGGTGGATTTGGGTGGGTGGCATTGGTAATTCCGAGTATTACAGGGAGTATTGGCATCTCATAGAGGGAAAAGTCCCTGTAATACCCATGTTGTGAGACTCTCTAAGTCAACTCTGAAGTGTTGGAAGTCATCAGGCTGCTGCTGCACCCTGTGATATTCTCCTTCAGAGGTCAAAGCAGCCTGGGGCTCAGGAGATGTGCTAAGAGCCCTTGCCACGCGGCCTCTCCAACCGCAGCGTGAGGTGCCAGCCGAGGGGGGAGGCTTTCCATACATTTACTTAGTTTCTGCCCATTATCTGTCTCTATCTCCCTCCTCCTCGTCTGGCTAATTCTTCCCTCCTGGTGTTTCACTGCTGATGGGAATAGCATGTGCCAGTCCCCATGAAGATCCAAGTCCAGACGTCCATTCTCCTTTAGAAAATATCTGAAGTCAAGGACGTGCATCCCCTACGCGTAAGAGAAACAGCTTTAATTTTTTTACATTCCCAATACTAGTTGCAAGCCCAAAAATAGAACAAAAACGTTTCTTTGAAACATCCTTCCCTCCTCTCTAGCATGACAGCATTTGAGTTTCTCAAGGGAGGTGTGTTGTGCATTGTCAACTCAAGGCCACCAGTTTTTAAAAAGGAGATGCCGTCCTCCCCTTCCGCCCAAGTGTTTCGCGACGCGTGTGAGCAGCTCCAACGACTGCGTTGGGAGTAGCTGAAGCGGGAACATGAAGGCTGCTCTTAGGGTGCTTCTGTCGTGCCTGGTGCTGTTGCTCCCCTCTGCAGCGCTTCCGAGAAAGGGGAGCGCGGGGGAAAGGATTTCCCCAACTAACCGGCTGGAGCTGAGCCCGCCAGAGGAGCTGGGACTTGAAGCAGAGGAAGGAAAGAGAGAAAACACAAGTTTACAGGGAAGAGTGAGACCCAGCTCAGAGGCAAGATCAAGGATGACTGCTGCTGCTCGTCTCTTTTCTAAGGCTGACCCAGGAGCAAGATGCCTCCCAGGGGTGGCTGAGGATGGGGGCATCGGCTGGTCCGGCTCCAGCCTGCACCCATGGCCACTCGGAGGGCTGGAAGGGCCCGTGTGCAGGATGAAAATGGACCAGGACGGGCTGACCCCAAGGCACCTGGAAGTTGTGGGTGTTCTCACCCACTACGAAAGCAGCTTCATCAAGCTGTTGAGAGAACGCACCAGCTGGGACGAAAGCTATCTCGAGACCTTCGGGCTCTGCCCGGCCGGGGAGGCGCGGGCTGCTCTCCATCCCCTGAAGCACATCCATGCACACGTGGTGGAGCCGGCACAGGATCGCTTCCTCGTGCTGCATCTGGAGGAAGGTTGGTGTGAAATCCCTGTGCCAAGGCTGAGTGGAGCAGGCAAGCACAGGGCTCGGGGAGGCCAACGCTATTTGCTTGCCCTAAATCAGAGATGTAAACACAGAATTAAATTTATGGGTCTGGTTTCCTTTTAAAATCAGTGAACCGATACAGTAAAATGTCTTTCTGGGTACATTTTAAGGAAGCTTTAGTAGCGACGATAGCTTGTGTGCAGCAGGGTGCCTTGTCCCTGCCTGTGACTAATGCCCAGGTGCCACAGTCTCGGTGGCTTCTGCTCTGCTTTCGAGATTATAGGCGTTTCTCACTTTCTGCCTTAATGACGTGGGTTAGGACCCCATCCCAACTCTGTCTGATTGGGAAAAGAGAGGAAAGGGTCAAATGAGCGGACCTGGCTGGTCCTGCTGTGGCGTGAGCCCGGCTGCTCGCAGTCAGCTGCAGCACATGCCAATCCCTCATGCTCAGTGCCGCTGAGGAGCCCTCAGCTTCCTTGCGTAGCTTCAGCCTCATGTGAAAACCAGCGATGCGCATCCCTGTCCTGCCTCAGTGGTAAGTGCTGCGCGTGAGGGAGGGCACCCTGGCTGAACCCTTGGTTTTAATCCTGTGTAGCAAGAGGGTCATTGTTGTTCCTCTCTTGAAATCTCTTCCAACTCTCCTGGATTTTGGATTTTCAGCTGAACTCACTGATGCTGGGCAGCTGGGGA